ATAGAATAGAATAGAATAGAATAGAATAGAATAGAATAGAATAGAATTCTTTATTGGCCAAGTGTGACTGGACACACAAGGAATTTGTCTTGATGCAAATGCTCTCAGTATACATAAAAGAAAAGATACATTCATCAAGAATCATAAGGTACAACACTTAATAACATAATCTAGAACAGAACAGGATCTAGGACTGAGTCTTGTGGTACACTACTTGTGACTGATCTTTGTTCAGGTAGTGCCCCATTAACAATCACACAATAGGATTTACCCCTTAGCCAACTGCTAGTGCTTATCCACTGGATCACCTAGTAGTTAAGCTCTAGCTTGTACAGCTGTTTTACGAACTCACTATGTGGAACTGAATCAAAAACTTAAAATCAAGATAGTTTAGCACCACCTTTGTCCAATACATTTGGGACATAGTTTTAAAAAGTCAATCAGATTAATTTGACAATTTTAATTGAGGGACCATATATCATAACCAAGACAGATCTACACATCAAATGGAAACAACACCAGTCTATCTTAGAGCTGAGGTTATTTTTTTTAATCCAAATATTAATAGAGATAAGGTAATCTGAATACTGTGGCACATGTTTTTCCAGATGTTAGATGCTACAACAGAGAAGGCATGCTTCCTACTTAGTTGCTTATGAAATGAGACACAAATCTGCCAAGTTTATGTATTTAGGGTAGCCATAGATGAATGCATGGACTAGTCCACGGTTGCTTTTATACAACATTATTCTTTTGTGATATGTTCTTTATTTGATATTGTTGAGGGTTTTTTAGAATTGGTTTTTCAGTTTTTCCACTCAGTTTGTGAGACGGCATCTTTCTTTGCCATCTTTCTTTTGCTTTTTGGATGCACTATGATCTGCCAATGTTAATTGTGTGCATAATTTATTACAAGTATTGAGATAATTTGGTTAGTCTTTAATGTTTTTAGGATCTCTCTTTCTTCTACCCTGATGGTTCTATTCTATTTGACCAGGGGTATAATACATTTTATTGCTTCATTGATTGGTTCACTTGTTTTGACTGACACTGTAAATATTCAAAGAATTCTGGTGGTTGACATTCTTTTGTGTTACAATTTAGTGCTTAATTAAGTTTACTTTATTGTCATTGCACCTCGTACAATGAAATTAAATGTCATCTTCAGTGTACATTATAACTATAAAAATAAAACACAAACACACATTCTTCACATTCTATACAATTGAATTGAAAACCCGATATTGCATTAATATTGCAGTATACAGTAGAATTCAATATAGTTGTTGCCCTGGGATAAAAGCTGTTTTTCAGTATATTTGTCCTTGTTTTTATTATCCTGTACCATCTGCCAGATGGTAATAGTTCAAAAAAAGGGTGCCCAGGATGAGTTGGATCTTTAATAATGTTTTTGGTGGGCATGGCTTGGTGGTCATGTGACTGGATGTGAACCGGTGTGAACCAGTTAAATACCACCTCTGACGTGCATGGTTAAGTTAAAATACAGTAAGTTAGTAAGTTAAAATACTCTATGATGCAGCTATAGAAGGTCACCAGAAGTTTTTCATTCAGTTGTTTCCTAAGAAGTTTCAGGTAGTACAATCTCTGCTGGGCCCTTTTGATCAGTGCTGCAGTGAATATTGCAGAGAATATTCTGGAGAATATTCTGTTCTGAATATTCTTTCTAGAGAATATTCTGTTCTGAAGTATTTAAGCGATGATTAGAGATATTTACCTCCCATTCTAGTTCAGTTTTACCTTTTCTTATTCAGGCTAGCTTCAACAATTTGGTTTACAGTTTTGTTTTTCTTCATTTCAATTTGTTTTTGTATACCAATTTTGATGGTAGTTGTTAATGTCTTAATGAGTTCTATAGTTGCTCATTTTAATTTCTGCTTTAAGTTATTGATAGTGTGCTATTATTTATGCAATCTAAGATGACCATCTGCTCTCAACTGATGCTCCAGTATTTAGTCTGTTTATTCTATTTCCTTTCATGCTGCCTAGTTTATGAGAAGTCTGTTTCTTATGCTAGTAGGCAGGACTATGCTCTCATAGGCATTCTTTTAGAAAAAAAAGATAAATGCAATTTTGTTTGTAATATATATACTTTATGCTGTGATTGCCAGAAACAGCTTGATAGATAGATGTCTATGGAGATTTTCAGTCATCCAGGTCATGGTTGTCCCCAAGATGCTTTTTCAAGAGGCAACTGGACTTTCAGTCAGAACTGAAGAAACTTCTTGGATGAGAAGCAAAACATCTTCAAAGAAAAACAGGAAGGTCCTCTAAAAAAGTACCTTTGGGACGAGATTGATAGATTATAAAAAATAACATCAAGCTGATGGCAACAACTGGGCAAAGATTCTACTGGAATTGGTTAGTGGTCCAAATATCTATCTTTCTGCTTCTTAGTTTAGTTTACTTTATTGTCATTGCATCTCGTACAACGAAATCAAACAACATCTTCAGTGAACATCATGGCCATGACCATGAAAATAAACACAAACACACATCCTTCACCCTTCACACATTGAACAGGAAACCCCCGACACCACACCAACACTGCACTATACAGCAGAATTCAAAAGAGCTACTTCCCTGGGATAGAAGCTGTTTTTCAGCCTATTTGTCCTTGTTTTTATTATTCTGTACCGTCTGCCAGATGATGGATCTTTGAGAATGTTTTGAACTTTCTTAAGGCAGCGGGAGCTATAAAGCTCTTCCAAAGAGGGGAGAGGGCAACCAATGATCTTCTGGGCAATGACATTAACCCTCTGGAGTGCTTTCCTATCTGCCACTATGCAATTGGCAAACCATACAGAGATGCAGTATATTAAAGTGCTCTCTATGGTGCAGAGGTAGAAGGTCACCAGCAGTTACTCATTCAGTTGTTGTTTTATGAGAAGCCTCAGGTAGTATAATCTCTGCTGGGCCCTTTTGACAAGGGCTGCAATGCGGGCACCCCAGGTCAGGTCCTCTTTTAGGGTAACACCCAGAAACTTAAAACTGGCCACTTGCTCCACTCGGTCTCCTTTGATAAGCAAGAACTGGATGTCTGATCTGTTCCTTCTATAATCCACTATAAGCTCCTTGGTCTTATTGGTGTTGAATACCAAGTTGTCGTCTCCACACCATGAAAGCAACTGGTCCACCTCATCTCAGTAGGCAGACTCAACCCCCTCAGAAATAAGTCCCACCACTGTTGTATCATCTGCAAATTTAGCAATAGTATTACTAACGTGAATGGGAATGCAGTCATTCACATAAAGAGGATAGAATAAGGGACTCAACACGCAACCCTGTGGTATACCAGTGTTAAGAATAAGGGTTGAAGAGGTATGATTACCTAATCTGATCCTCTGTGAGAGGCCAGACAGGAAATCCATAATCCAAAGGCAGATTGAATTAGAAAGCCCAAGGTCCAGAAGTTTAGACACTAGTCTATGTGAAAGAATTGTGTTAAACGCATAACTAAAATCCACAGAAAGCATCCTCACATAGCCCTCCCACTGTTCTAGATGAGTCAGAGCAGTGTGAAGAGTGATGGCTATAGCGTCTTCTGTAGATCTATTTTTTTTTTTGTATGCAAACTGGTGTTTATCAAATGTATGTGGAAGACCAGAAATGATGTGCCGGCAGACCAATTTCTCAAAGCACTTCATGATGATAGGAGTGAGTGCCACTGGTCTGTAATTGTTGAAGTTATTGATAGGGAACTTCTTTGGCAGCGGAACAATGGTGGAAGCCTTCAAACAAGATGGAATAGTGGACTGGGATAAAGACCGATTGAAGATCCTGGTAAAGACTCCAGTCAACTGATCAGCACAGTCTTTAAACACTCGGCCAGAGATACCATCAGGACCGGCAGCCTTTCCAGGATCCACAGCCCTCAGAATGCTCCTCACCTCCTGTTCCTCCACAATGAGGTGGGGGCTACAATTGGCTGGTAGTTGTGTTTTATCTGTCTCTGATGTCTCCACTTCAAAGTGAGCAAAGAAATTATTCAGTTACTCTGCCAATGAAGCACCCCCCTCAGCAGGGATGACATTGGTCGGTTGATGGTTTGTAATTTGTTGAATCCCTCGCCACACCTCCCTCATGTTATCGCTATAAAAATTATCCTCAATCTTCCTCTTATAATCAGTCTTGGCCTTCCAAATCTTTCTTCAGATTAGCTCTGGTATCTTGCCCCATCACTGGACCTAAAGGCCTTAGTCCTGTCATGCAAGAGGCACTGGACTTCCTTGGTCATCCAGGGTTTCTGATTGGGATAGATCCTAATACGTTTATCCACAGTGATAGTATCTGTGCAGTGTTTGATATAGCACAGAACAGTTGCGGTGTGCTCCTCTAGGTCAGGGTGGTAAAAGACGTCCCAATTTGTGTTCTCAAAACAATCCTGAAGTTGTTGGGAAGCATCTTCTGGCCAAGATTTCACTGTCTTTATTATAGGCAGAGCCTGTCTCCTAAGAGGGATATACGCTGGTGCTAAAAGCAGTGACATATGGTCTGATTGTCCCAAGTATGGTAATTGTATAACCTTATAGCCATGTTTGATGTTGGTATATACTTTGTCCAATATGTTTGCTCCTCTAGTAGCACACTTAACATGCTGATAGAATTTAGGGAGCACTTTTTTTAAATCAGCTTGATTAAAGTCCCCCGCTATGATATGCACAGCATCAGGATATTTATTCTGCTGATTACTAACTATGTTATACAAGAATCTGAAAGCTATGGTAGTATTGGCACCACGCTGAATTCCCACGGAAGATATATGGGTCTACATTTAAGAGTCATATACTCCAGATCCATGGAGCAGTGGCTGTCTACACTCTTTGTATTGATACACCAGCTTTTGTTCACATAAAGGCTTAAACCTCCCCCTTTGATCTTGCCAGAATCTCTACTCCTGTCCTGCCGGTGAGCTATGTAGCATTCCAGCTCAACAGCTGCATCTGGAATGAGTGAATGAAGCCAAGTTTCTGTGATTCGCAAAACACAGCAGTTCTTGATGAATTTAGTCTTTGCAATCTGTAACCTTAATTTATCCTTTTTGTTAGTCAGAGATCTTGCATTGGTAAGAAATATACTTGGAATTGAAAGCTTGTGTGGAAACTTACTCAGCCTAAAGAAAACCCCAGCACCGCATTGTCTCTTCCTCTTCTTCTTTCTCCACCTCTTCCTCCTTCCTACAGGGATAGTGATCCATGGTTTCCCCAAGGGCCTAGCTGCCTCCTTCGGTATGTTATGAGAATGTGTAAAATCGTCCGTAATAGCCTTTTCACATTTCAGTCCGATTTGTAACAAAGCTTGCCGACTATAGATATTCTTGTTGTCCTGATCAGCTATGAGATGGGATTAAAATCCTGCTTCATCAGTATCCATTTTACATCGACAGAGAAAGGCTTTCATTGTGATATTGAACCAACATCTTGCTATTATTACAAGTAAAGCAGTCTTAACACTGCTATTATTACAAGTAAAGCAATATTGTTCACAAATCATTTATTCCTGTCTACTGTGTAACATCATTAGATTTCACTTCTCTGTAGCACTTATTGGTAAAAAAATTGTTTAAAAAATTAAATTAATTTCAGATTCATTCAAATTCAACTTTCCAACCACCTAGAATGGAACACATTTAAAATTGAGTTGGAAGAAGTAGGATACTAAACAGTAAGAAAATATAACATTGTACCAAAGGATAATATACTGTAGGAAGTCTATGATTTATTATCACAATGGAGCCCAAAATTTCCATTGCTAAGGAAGACAGTTGTTACGTGACTTTCAGCCCATTTTATGATATTTCTTGCCACAGTTATTAAGTAAGTCACTGCAGTTGTTAAGTTACTGACATGGTTGTTAAGTGAATCTGGCTTCTCCATTGATCTTGCTTGTCAGAAGGTCGCAAAAGATGATCTCTGGGCCCCATGACACTGCAACCATCATAAATACATGTCAGCATCTGAATTTTGATCAAGTGATAGTCATAAGTTTTGAAAGTGATCATAACTCAGTATTTTCAGTGCTTTTATAACTTCAAACAATCCCTAAAGGAATGGTTGTAAGCCAAGGACTACCTGTATGCCCATCTGGATTAATATCCATCCCCAGATCTTTAAGGACTGATAACCCAAAGTACAGGGGAAAAGCATTACCAAAAGGTCAACAACAAAAAATGAAGACAACAACAAGGAAAGACAACAACAAGATTTACATGCCATTATGAAAATGCAGGGTTTTCTTAAATATTGAGTCATTTAATCAAGAACTTCCTAACCTTAATGTAAGCCAGTGGTCTTCATTTTCTTCCATTTGTCTTCCTAGAATGTTTGCTAACTAGATGAGGTTTGTTTATAGAATTCTAAATCTTATTTTGCTTCCAAAACAATTTAACACAAAAGCTGGAACAAGCTTAGTAGCTTTTAGATATTACTGTTAGGCATAGAATATTTTCTTTAATCATCTTTCTTATACAATGTAATGAAAGAGAATTAGCTTTGAAATTCCTTTCAAAGAGGACATGAATTTCAGAGGATTCTCATACAAGAAATACTCCTTTGCACTATTTTATTACAGTATGTAATAACGTTTTCCCCTTTAGATGTATGCAGCCCCCTGGACTTCCTATTCAGTCCCAGGGAAGACATTATAAGCAACATTACTGTCAGCACAAAAGAAGAAATCCTACTCTTGATACGTTATACGTTGAAGAAACTTTCTTTCCACTTAATTTCTTTAACTTTAATTTTTTGGGGGGGATGAAATATTGTGTGTACTAACAACACGAAGCATAAAATTGGAAGCAAATATTTTTGATAATTTGACAAATATATTAGAGGAAGGAAAAGGGATTTTTGACATTGCCCAAGTTCATTCCTATAACACTAACTAGACTAAACGAGTGTTACTGTAAGTATAATGTCTGGCTAGTATTTTGGGTTCTTTTTTTTAATTTTTTTTTAATTTTTTAAGATAAACATATACAGACAAAACATAAAAACATAAAACCATCTTCCAGTTATATACATACAGTGTGTCAGTTGGTTACAAATCTTTTGTGCTATCCTTTCATAGTCCTTACTCACAAGTTGTATAGGTTCTCACATTGTCAATCTAACATATGCTTATATATTTATCAGTTATTAATCATTCATTTGACTCAACTATTATTCCATCATTTTATACAAGATATTCTAGACTTTATTATAAATTTATATTATAGTATTCTGGGTTCTTATGCTGTTTAATAAACTCTGCCTTCTTAAGAAGACTTTTTGCTTTCATTTATCTGTTTCATTGTATGCACAAATCTATTTTAGAGCCTAAAATATGTTTACAATACCAAAATAAACTGTTTACCTGCTTGTGACAGTAGCAGATGAAAGAGCTACAAAATTAAAGTTGTTTGTTCTAAGCAAAACATTTTAAATCTTGAAATATCAAGAAATCACTGACCTCTCTGTATCTATGAACTGTTTTTCATCTCTCAAAAAAGGTCTATTCTTATTTTGGAGAACTATTCTTTTATATTCACAATGCGGATGAATGTACTAAACAATAGAGCAGAATTTTACATACACTGTACATTGGTATTGTCTACATAATATTCTTCTTTTTATTTTACTTTTTGTAAATAGATTACAAGACTTCTGTGCTACAAGCTTTATACAACCAGTCCTTAGAAATTCCATGTGGGAACAATACGCCTCATTATATAAACCTAACAAATGCTTCTGTAACGTGGTTATTGGTAAGAAACATTTACTCAATAAAATAAGGGGAGAAGGAGACCTAAGTCCAAAGCTGCTTCACCAAGCCTGTCAGAATATATCTTATTTGTTATTTTGCTTTTTAAAATGGCTGAACAATTATCATTAAAACTTAGTTTGCTCTGAAGACTGTGACTTTGGAAATCTGTAATCTTGAGGATCTCATGTGTCTTCCTAGATTACCCATGTTTAGGAGATATCTGATATGAACCAAAGCATCTCATATTCAAGTAACAGTAATTCTAAACTGCAGATAAAATATTTTCTGCAGATTCTAAACTGCGGATAAAATATTTTCAGTAAACATATTTAGGCAGCACTAAATATGTTTGCTGAAAATATTTTATATAAAGTATCTAGCATGCGTTTTAGTGCTATATGGATATGGCTGCTTCTAATAGATTTTTATTTTGAGATATCAAATTTATATAAACTTCTTCATTGAACCTCTTGGTTTTTAGAGTTTTTAAAAAACCCTCCCAATTATTTAAAGGGCCCAAAAAGTCCAGCTCCATTCTTATTAGCATATAATCATACCACTACCATGACCTGGTCATCCAAAGGATGTGGGGGGGGAGGTCAATAGCTTCAAAAAACAAGTGTGTCTAGGCTATAAAGTATCATCCTTTATTTTAATGTGCATGAAATATGATCATACTTACATAAAAATGGATGGAGCTTCAATTACTCTGGTCATACCTAATAATTTGATAGCATTGACACATAATATTTGTCCATATGCCCCATATGCCCCATATGCCCCTGTCCATGAGCTGGCAATTCTATAATTTCTGTCTTTTCTGGGTGAGCATTTTTGGGTGGAAACAACTCAAATATTTTATTCTTGCATTGCAATTCTGCAAATTTCTACTTTATAGCAATATAGTTTTAATATTTACATGAAATTGCTGAATCAAATCATATTGTCATTAGGTCTGATTTGTCCTTTGAACTTTTAGAACTTTAGTAATGCAAAATATGTCTGGGAATTTTCAAATTGGGGCCAATGCCAAGTATTAATATTAGTCATCACTTCAGCCTTTACAGCGTCTGAAGCTTTTTGGAAACCATTAAACCATACACTGACTATTGTATAATTGTGTGGTCTCTGAGTTTGTGGGCATGCACAGAGAGAGAAACACACTGAGACACAGGTTCTCAAGAAAAAAAAAATCTTTATGCATTGCTTTAGCAGAGATAGCACTTGCAGACTATTCAGTACTTTTTTGTTAGAGAAGCTTGCTATTTTATTTCTATTTCTAAATAAACGTTCTAATTGTTGCTGAGAAGATATTAAAAAGAAAAAACATGTTTCCTTTTTTCATTCTGCAGTCCAAATCTATTTTATACCAGAATTAGTTAACAAAAGAGATATGTCCTAAAGTGAAATTTATAATAAAAAGGGACTGTTCTTGAGACAGATTGTGAAATATATAGTAGATGACGGGAAAGAGAGATAGGCTATCTAATAGCTAATAGCTCTTATAGGAAGGAAGGAAGAATCAGTGATTCACCTATTCTAGTTGTACAATAGCTATTATATCAGCACCTTCTATTACATTAAAAAGAAAGAAATGATGATAATTCATGCTTTTTCATGGCAATGCATCACTGACATATCTCCCATTTCTAGCAGAAAGAAAATGGAAATGAAGAGATCCTAATCAAGAAAACGTCCTATTACCTTCAAGGCTATACAACCAATCTCACTGTGTACAAGGACAGAATCCAAATGAGTTCAAAAAATGCGTTATTGATTTCTCCGGTGACAGTTATTGATGATGGAAAGAAGTTTGTCTGTTCAATTGCCACTCTTTCTGGAAGAATTCAGGAAAGTGCCACTCAAGTGAAAATATTTGGTGAGGAGGAGCTACTGTAATGGATTAAAAACTTAATCGATACTTTTTTTTCAAATGTTACTTTATAAAATCGACTTGATTCCCTTAAATGCTTGTTTGCTTAAGTAACAGTATTTAACATTTTTCTATTTTGTACAAAGAAACTTCTTGCCATAAATTGGTAGCAGAGCACAATATGTCTCTTACTCATGATGTCATGTAATCACCTAAGACCACTGTCCTGTATATCGTTGATTCTCAAAAGTTTGAACATTGGATCAAATGCAACAGGATTATGTTAGATTTGGCCCAATAATATTTTTAGGGTTTTGAATCACAAGTATAAAAAATGTACATAGTTCAAGAACATGAAAACCCATTTGGTGGCAGTGCATATAATGAATATCTGGACCACTAGCTTAATATGAGCTAGTTAAATAGGCCAAGATAATCTTGGACTATATTAATGGAAGAATGCATCCAGATTTTGTACAATTCAATTCTACTCAGCATGTACCCAAGTTAAGCAAGATGCCAGCTTTTAAGTGAAAAAAAGTCAATCCTGGCATTGATGTTTGGCAGATTGCATTGTTTTCCTAAGGGTACTAATTGCTGCTAACTGTGTCCAGTTCTGGGCAAAAGCTGAAATGAATTCAAAGGAAAACTACTAATATATTAAGAGATTTGGAAATCAAGTCTTATGAGGAACAGTTGAAAAAGGATTAGGGCATTATTAACTTGTAATAAAACAAAATGAATAAGGAATATTATTGTGCTCTCACTTTATCTAAAAAGCTGCCATAAGAAAGAGGAGGCATATTATTTATGTGCTATAAATATCTTTTAATATTACTATCTGTTTCTGATTTTATTCTCACAGTGATTAAGAATATTATGTTGATTTTTATTGGTGCTATTACTTGTTTTTGTTTTCTGTTAGCCATCATTTGAATAATACAATGTTGAATCTGATACACATCTTAAACCAGGGGTGTCAAACTCAAGGCCCGGGGGCCAGATCCGGCCTGCGGGGTGATTAGATCTGGCCCGCAGGGCCACCCTGGAAACAGCGAAAGACTGGCCTGCGGTGCCTCTGCCAGCAAAAACAGAACTCGGGTGGGTTGCACACAGCCCTCTTGAGCTCTGTTTTCATTGGCAGAGGGTTACTTACAGGAGGCCGTTGCAGCCGAAAACAGAGCTCAGGAGCCTGTTTTCTCTGTCAGAGGGCTCGGGCCACCACAGGCACCCCTGACACGAGTGATGTCGAGCTGACCACACCCACTCTGGCCACGCCCACTCTGGCCCTCCGAGGTAAAATACAATCCTGATGCGGCCTTCAATGAAATCAAGTTTGACACCCCTGTCTTAAACAGTAGTGAGATTCAAATATTTTTACCACCGGTTTGGTGGGTGTGGCTTATTGAGCATGCTTTGCATGCGCGCACACACTTTGCATGCGCACGTATGCCAAATGTGCACTTTGCACAGGCGCAGAGGCATTTTAACTCAGCTCCCGCAAACCTGCACTCTCCTGGTCACTTCAGCAGCTGCTGCACAGCACTCTGCTGTGCCGCGCAAAACAGCTGTGCTTCAAATTCAGAGGATAAAGGTGAGTATGGGAGCCTGGGCTGGCAGGAGAGCCCAACAGCAGAGTGACGGAGAGAACTGGCTTGGTCTCTGCTGTTCATCGCCGCTACTGGCTCGGCAGAACCAAGCTGAACTGGTAGAATACCACCACTGATCTTGAAGTATTTCATCTTCAAGATCTTGACAACAGTGTATCTTGATTAATTTACCTAGTAAATATAGATGCAATATGTTTTTTGAAGAGAGAAGTAATTTATTCATAGACAGAGAAGGATAAGAAGTACAGTGTTTTGATTAAACATGAACAATTCTTTCAATCAACTTCCAGAACGAATTCAATTAGTTCATGCAAATTGAAAATAAAGGTTAATAATATAGATCACTACTAACAAGCGGAGCTAAGCTTGTAGCCAAATTGAACTTAGCTGTGTTTCATGAACAATGATTGCACAGGTTCAGCTAAAAAAAAAAAAGATAAAGCAAGAATAATTAAAAGCCATTAGGCAAATGGAGTGTTATGATGTACGTGGAACTTTAGAGAAAGAGGGAAGAAATAGAAACAAAATAAAATTGGAAGAAAAACTAAAGATGCTGTAAACACTTGTCCCTTGTTGGTATTTTTCATTTTGAAAGAAAAACCATAGCTATATAAAAGAGGAAGGATAATTTAACTATGGAAATATCTGATCCTTCCATAATGACTTTAGTAATATTACAAATTTCATCTTTGGATAGTTCTTTCTTTGGACTGTTGATAGTGCAATCATTTAGATATATAATTTGGAACATGTTTACTAACCTAAAGTATGTACCAAATATATTGAGTGGGTCTTCTTCCAAGGGGAGCAATAATTGGGCTTTCAGTTTACAAAAAAATGGGAAGCAACACAAGAAATGTCCATTAGTGGACAGCCATTAATTCAGCAATAACTTTCCAGTCCATTGCAGATGTCACCATATAGTAAATTCTGATAGATATTACCAATTCATTATAACTTGGATAACAGCTTTTAGTGGGGGCTGAGGTACAAGATGTGGAAAATCTTGCAAACATACAGAAACCAATGGTCTTGATGGGCCATCAGGGTGGCTTAATGTGATTGGAAGTTAATAATATATAAACTATCTGCAGCAAATAAGAATATGAGGCAATCAGATTTATTGTGTGAAGTCATTTAGTGTGAACAAGGCAGTGTGGTTTATAAATCATGGTTTTGGCTTAGAAATAATATCTAAAGTTCTAAAAGAGACATTTCCCCCCATAACTCCACAAAAACCTGTAATGCAAACTTAGCAATATATACTGTGTGTGTGTATGTGTGTGTGTAATCAACCTGGAGCTCAGATATCGGATGAAGAGGCCTTTCCTAAAGGCCTTTTCTGAAGGCTCTCTAGCTGATAATAGAGCTCCAGATTGTTCCAGAGCTCTGAATAGGCTGCAGAGGCCTTCAGGAAAGTCTCGCTCGCTTTGCTGGACAAAGAAGTTCCTGAAAGCTTCTGATAGTGAAAAAGAGGCCAGGGGCGATGCACGCAAATGAGGTGAGTCAGTGGACAACCCCACCCACTCCTGAAAATAAGATGTGGTACCTTTTTGGGTGGGAAAAATATAAGACAGGGTCTTATTTTGGGGGAAACACAGGTATAATGAAAGAAGTCAGGGTTTTTTAAATAAATTTCTTTCCTTTTCTTTACTACGTTCTTATTTTTATTTCATTTGTATTTTTTCTTTGTTGCAGCATCATTTTTTTCTTTTTATCTATTTTTTTTAATTTGTATTGTAATGTTTAGTTTTTAATACTGTCATTATAATGCTTAACAAAATTATTATAAAATTCTGATATAAATAGGCAAATGCACCCACATACATGACACACACACACATACACACACACAGTATATATGTATATATATTTACATTAAAAAGTACAAATAGATTTCTTAGATGCTAAGCATCCAAGGCGATAGAAACCACAGGGTAGACTGATGAGAGATATTTTTGAAATTTGCTAAAATAACTTATACTAATCAGACAGTATATGGTATTCCTGATATCGCATACTCTTTAGATATTGATTTCATCTATGTTCTATTATTTTGAACACAAATTGATATTTTCAACTATAAAATAAACTAATGTTTGTTGTACAGAAGGTCATTGTGTGCTGAATTAAGTCCTGTATAATTTGTCTTTTCCCCCTCTTTGGTGCTGCAGCAAAACCAGAAATCTCTATTGCGTTCCATACAGATTCCAAAGGAAAGGTGGGTTAATTTATGTAAATGTTTGTGCAATTTTATATTATGCCTTGAAAGGAGCAAAAATTAGTTTTAAATGTTTTAAACTACTTTACAAGTAAATTGAGATTTTGTACATTTTGCTTAATAATCTTTATATGTTTTTCTGAAACTTGCCCTCTAATTTCTAACAGTTTCTTCTGCTGAAAAAAAAAAAACCTTCTGTTTTTTCCCCTCATTCTTAGGATGCTCTAAAAAGTCAAAAGTTTGTACTTGGCTGAGAAAAGAAAACAGGAAGAAATAGAAGTCCTTCATCTGGTAGTGCCCTAGAAGGAAAAAATAAAAGTGAAAGAGAGGAGTCTTTTTTCCCAAAGTTTTTTTTTTACACATCTCTTCACGTGAGCAATGTGATTCCAGATTACAATATTTATGCATAGTCATAATTACACTTTCAACTTTCTTAATTAATATCACTTCAAATTATTATCCATTTGATGAATCTTTAGATAAATTTCTCTTTCATATTTCAGTTCATTAATTCAATATCAAAATCATTTCATCCTCACATATATTTTCAATTCTTTATCCCCTATTTCCATTTTCAGCTTACCACCTATTTTATGTTACCTTATGTATTGTTATCATCTATAACTTTCTCAAGACCAATATATAATTAGACAGTCAATGAAAGAAAAAACAAGTAAAAGTAAAGTAAGATTAATACATTTAGGATCCACATGGTATATCCCCCCATCTGCAATATATCTTATATCTATTCCAGAAATATTCATATAATCATTTCATATTTTTTCTGTTTCCAAAATTTACCTACCGTATATGCCGGCGTATAAGACGACCCGGCGTATAAGACGACCCCCCAACATTTCCACTCAAAATATAGTTTGTTATATACTCGCCCCCTCTTCCGCACGCCTTCCACTTTTGCACTTTTTTTTTTTTGAGGCACTTTTGTCTACCGTGGAAACGAATCCCGTGAAGCCGAAAGGAGCAGCCAGCCTTCTCCCAGCTCCCAAGGAAACGAGGCTCGCACCGCCCGGGCTCCGCTGAGGTATCCGGCTGGGGCTGTCAGGAGTTGTTACCGCTGGCGCGGCTCCACGCAGCTCCAGTCCCGTGTTGCCTCGGGAAGGGAAAGGCAAAAAGGAAGAGCCGCGGCTTTTGCCTTTCCCTTCCCGAGGCAACGCGGGACTGGAGCCGCGCGGAGCCACGCCAGCGGTAACAACTCCTGACAGCCCCAGCCGGATACCTCAGCGGAGCCCGGGCGGTGCGAGCCTCGTTTCCTTGGGAGCTGGGAGAAGGCTGGCTGCTCCTTTCGGCTTCACGGGATTCGTTTCCACGGTGCGCAAAAGTGCCTCAGCCGCGGGCAGCCGCAGTGCTTCCCAATTACTATTTGCCGGCGTATAAGACGACCCGGCATATAAGACGACCCCCCCAATTGGAGGCATCTTTTTCAGGGCAAAAAAGTCGTCTTATACGCCGGCAAATACGGTATATAATTTTAATAAATTTTCATTCCCCTGCTTTTGATTATAATATAATTCATTCATTATAAATATTTTACATTCCCACATAATTCCTTCTAGTTCATTATATTTTCTATTTTCTCATATCCTTTGTATAATCAATTGTATTTTCTATTTCATGTATACCACAAAGAAAATAAAATAAAATAAAAACAGAGTTAATTTCCCCTTTTACTTCCCTTTGACCAATTTCAACCTATAGCATTTATATAACCCTAATTCACACTTTTTTTTGAAAATTTTATTTGGGTTTTCACACAAAAAAACATAATACAAATAAAACATCTTTTTTTAAAAAATAGCATGGTCCTGGGTTATCACTTCTTCATACAGACACAAACTCAATTTCATGCTCATTTGTGTGTTCTATTCCATATCTTATAACTGTTTTTACATTTTCTACATAGTTTTTCCCCTCTTTTAATTTTCTCAACTTTATTTTGATTATCTCATCTCAATTCAAATCATTATATTTATACTTTTGTCTGTCCTGTTTCAGTTTCATATTATCTTTTCTCATTAAACAAATTTTCCCCTGTAGTTACTAATTGGAGTATGACACCTTTATATCTTTTAATTTTATCCATTCAACTCTTATTTAAGCTTCAATGTATACCTTTAAGATTATAACATTCAATATAATACATAACTTCCAATCGAATTCTGCTTGGTACATTCTTAAAATACACACTATATTCTTAAAAAAAGATTTTATATATATATATATATATATATATATATATATATATATATATATA